CAAATAAAAAGTAATATATATATATATATATATTAAAATATAAACTATCATTTGTAAGTTCTTTTGTTTAAGTTACTTAATAAACCTACAAAACATTGTAATTTCATGTTCTTTTCCACGAACATATGCTAAGAAAATCTAGAATACACAAATTAGATAAATGTTTGCATTAAAATGATGAAAAGAAATATGAAATGTACAGAATGTATACATATTTTAAATGAACACGTTAAGTTGGAACTTAACAAGATAGAGATAAAGATAAATGGCAAAGATAAAGAAATATTACTTGATTGTCAAATGAGTAACCCTAAATTAATTAGGATATTACTCTTTATCGTATTGTTCACAATACAAAGTTAACTAAAAACATGTACAAGTAATCCTTTTTCACAATAAAATAACACTTGAGAGACTCTAGATGCATGATTTAGAGCAATCCTAGATACATGACTTAGATACAATCCTACATTTCACTAGGACTTCGCTATTGTTTTTATGAGTCATAGTTTTTTTTTCTTAGCACAAGTTAATGGAACAACGAGTCTATCTGAACATAAATTAAATCATTAACAACATTTAAAATATTTGTAGAAATCCATCAAAATCTTGAAAATTTAAATTATGAATGTAGTTCACACTATTTTTATTTTGACATTTTCCCTATGTAATGCTAATAGTTTAAGTTATAAATTACTTTTTATTATAATTATTATCTATATTATTAATTTTGAAGTGTTCTATCGTTGAAGTTATGCTTATTTAAAAAGTTATTTACAAATTTAATCCCTAGAATATTGCACAAAAATCAAATTAATTATGGAAAATAAAATTTTACCTAAAAAATGGAAACAATCAAGTAGTTTCCTAAATTATCTCTACGAATTTGGTACTAATACATTACTGATTTCTCAAAAGTCAAAACCAAAAAGACTAAGACCAAAGCAAATTTTTTTTTTTTATTATAAATTTTTTTATCTATTTTGGTATATTGGTTACCAAAACCAATTAATTTCATACCAAAGCTATACCGGTTTACCAATCAAAGCCTTAAACAAAAAAGTCCCCACCGTAATCCAATAATCATCATCTCTCTCACTACGACGTTACCCTTTACTGTTTAATTTCCCAATTTGTCGCCGACGACTCTTCATCTCTCCGACCTTAAATCGCCGGTGATTCTCCACCACGGTCGTCGTCTGATTTCAGAAGAACATGTTTCTGTAATAAACAACGATGATTAAACGATCCAGCAACTGCGCTATTTGCGAGAATACGAATCGTGCTTGTATCTGTAGCGCTTGCGTTAATCATAGGTTTAAACATCGATTTAGAATCTCATGAAATCGAATTGTTTTTTCAGAAAGTCTCATACTTTAGGTTTTTTTTACAGGTTGATTGAGTATAACACTTTGTTGAAGTCACTCAAGAGTAGAAGAGATAGTTTGTGTTTGAGATTGAGTGAGCTATTGGAATCTAAGGTTTGGGTTTTTGAAGATTCTTTTTGAGTATTCTTATTGTTTGTTTTGTGAGAGTGTTTAATTTGTGTGTTTTGGGTTTGGTTTTAGGGTAAAGCTGATGATCAGAAGAATTGGAGATTGAGTCAAAGTGAGAAGCTTTTGAAGTTGAAGAATAGACTTAAGAGTAGTAAGGAGGTAGTGAGTCAAGGGAAGGCTAAGATTGAAAGAGAATCTTGTGGGCTTAAAGTTAGATATGGTGTTCTTGATTCAGCTCGTTCCACGGTAGGAAAAGTTTGATGCTTTATGAGTTATAAAGTGTGATGGAAAGATTCAAGTTTTGCTGATAACTCTGTTTTGCAGCTTGAGAAGATTCGAGTTGAACAAGTTGAGAAGTATTTTCCTAATCTGATATGTACACAGAGCCTTGGTCATGTAAGGAGGCTTAGTTTTGATTTGGTTTATAGGTTTATGGGTTTTGTAATGTGTAATGTAAAGAGTTGAGTTTTCTTGATTTGTAGATGGCGATTTCGTCTGAGCGTCTTCATAAGCAGTCAGTGGTTGTGAAGCAAATATGCAAATTGTTTCCTCTACGCCGAGTATGTATATTAGTTTGATGAATTTTTATGGTTATCTTTTTTGACTAGTGTTTTACACTAGTTGCTCTGTACTGTGTTTAGGTTAGTATTGACGGAGAGAGTCAGAACGGTTCAGTTCGTCAATATAATCTAATTTGCAATTCACGTCTACCGAGTGGTTTGGACCCTCATTCGATCCCATCAGAAGAGCTTGCTGTCTCTTTGGGGTAATGTTTTATTCTTAATTTTCTACGGCTATGCATTTTGGGTTTCAACATTTCTTGTTCCGTGGTATTATTTTGTTTTGTAAGACAAATTTTTTGACATGCGGTGCAGGTATATGGTCCAACTTCTAAACCTTGTTGTTCACAACGTAGCTGCTCCTGCACTACATAGCTCTGGTTTTGCGGTATGATTGTTTTATCTTCAATACGTTTGCATTTCAAGTGATAATCTATTAGCAAAGATTATAAATCACTTTCTCCTCTTGTAAACTCATCCATGTCTGTTGGTTTTTCACCACACAGGGCTCATGCTCCCGTATATGGCAACGAGATTCCTATTGGGACTCACGTACTCGAAGGTACAATCCTTTTTGCCCCTTTTGGAGTCCTCATTGTACATACATGTGCTTTCGAAGATGATAAAATAAATCTAACTAAATGAGTCATTGTTCTGTTGCAGCCATGAGTATCCTCTCTTCATACCCCGCCGGAATTATTGCTCAACCAGCGTTGAAAACTCATGGACAGATAAAAACTCCAGCAATTTTGGTGTAGCTTCCATGGAATCTGATAAAAAAGAAGCGCGTCTGGACCCTACTGGAAACAACAGCTTTAAGTACTCCGCTGCTTCTCCTCATTCGATTGAGTCACACAGAGATCTGCAGAAAGGGATAGCTCTTCTCAAGAAAAGTGTTGTGTGCTTGACAACGTATTGTTACAATTCACTTTGCCTCGAAGTACCTTCCGAGGCCTCGACTTTTGAAGCATTTGCTAAGTTATTGGCCACGCTTTCGTCATCAAAGGAGGTCCGCTCTGTTTTCTCCCTGAAAATGGCTTCTTCAAGGTAAACCAATCTTATTTTCGGCGCAAATATCCGCACATCTTTCGGATATCCTCTTCGCATGTTGTTTCTGTTTTCTCCTTTTGTATTTGGATTTTTAAACAAGTAAATAGTTTGCTGATATGTTTATATGTGCTTCTCTGTTCTGGATGATGCAGATCATGCAAGCAGGCTCAACAACTCAACAAATCCATATGGAACGCCCACTCTGTCATCTCAAGCTCCTTACTCGAAAGTGCCCATCTTCCGGTACACGCTAATTCTTTGTTCTCCTATTATTATTCTTTTGTAGGAAAACCCCAAACATGATCAAAAACCATATTAGCAGCTTAACAACCCATTAAACGATTCAAAAGTTTAATATAACTTCCAGATATGTCATAACATTAGATCTTTCACCCAAATCCTTTACACATGGCCAAACTTTGTAGATGTTGGTGAGTTCATCTGACATTTACTTGGACGAATTGGGCACTTAAGTCCGGATTGATTGGTGTTTACTTTTGCATATGCAGTTCATATGCTGTGTTGCCTCACGGTTTCTTTCTAATGACACCTCATAAATAATTTCGTGCAGAGGAACACAAGTTATAACCAGGATCCGAACTCAGGAGCCAGTTATCTCTCTGCAACGGAATCATCAACCCGCAAGAACAACGATATGAGCGGATGGGATTTGGTGGAGCATCCTAAGTACCCGCCACCACCTTCACAATCCGAGGATGTTGAACACTGGACTCGCGCTATGTTCATCGATGCTAAGAAGAAATGAAGGTTTTGATTCTTGCTTGTTGAGTGAAGTGAAAACTTTTGGTATATATGTCTCTTACATTGTACAGAAACACAGATCATGGGTAGATTCTCTATATCATCTTGCGTTTAAGAACCAAACAAGACACAAACTAATGCAAATCTTAGTTTCACTTTATAAAATTCTGAGTTAGGGTTTAATATATTCACAAAATTAAGTGAACACCATTGATATTTTTCCATTTTCTTCAGAGATAAATTTTTGTTTTTGCAGTGAAAAGAATTTCCATGATTTAAGTAATTCAGTAAATTTGGGTTTGAGTTAAAATTATTTTACACATACAACAACACATTAAAGCAATCAATTGGAACTTTTGATTTTTTTTTTGAATTTTACACATTTATTTACTTTTTAAACTTTTAGTATTAGTTTATTTCCATGATATCTTATATCTCAATTTGAATAATACTTCTAAGTTATTACCCTTTTCAAGATATAATTCATCATTCACTTAACAAACTACTTAAATTCAAATAAATCATTAAAAATATTTGGAAACTTTGATTATGACAATATAATAATGCTATTATAAAAAAATTATATCTAATAATAATAATACTTAGAAACAAAAAAAAATCAACATCTAGGTTATTACCCTTGTCAACATTTAAGTTATATCAACATCTAACTTATTAGCCTTGTCAACATCTAATTCAATTAATTAACTACTTAAAATTAAATAAATCATAAAAAGGGAAACTTAATTTTATGTTACTATAAGAATACTGTTATCTGAAATTTTATATACATAACAAGAATTCAATTAATTAACTACTTAAAATCAAATAAATCATAAAAATAATAAAAAATTGGAAACTTTAAATTTTATGATAATCTAATAATTCTATTATCAAAAATTATACATAAATAATAATAATAATACTTACAAAAAAAAATGAAATATACTCCCCCATTTTGTGAAATAATATGAGAAAGTTACGAAATTGTTTTACAAAAAAAACCCCAAAAGTTGTGAATAATTACAAATCGACCCCAACCCCATGAGATTCCCGCTTCTCCCGCTCCTTTGCTTCTCTTCTTGCCTCTGTCTGAAGAACATCACAACATCGCTCTCTCTCCTTCTTCTTCTTCTTCTAATTCGATTTAAACACATGTTACCTAAAATTTGAATCGTTACCTAAAAATTTCATTTTTTTGTAACATTTTTGTGAATCCATTGCTTTCTGATTCTCTCCGGATCTGTAAGTTTCTCAATACCTTCTTCCTAATTTTTTTTTTTTTGTATTGAATTGTTTTTGAAATCAGTCTCTCTGTTTTGAGTTTTTGAGGGATGTGACAGTAATTGCTGTTTTGTTTTGTCTTCTTGTTTGGTTTTGTGGAATCTGTTATAGTCAATGGATACAGAGAGTTCTCCTAAACACAATGTGGAAGAAACCAAATCTGCTGAGATCATCGCTAAAGAAGTTTCACCTAAACACAATGTTGAAGAAACAGAGGAGAAGGAAGAAGAAGAAGAAGAGATGAAAACTGCTGAGGTTATCGCTAAGGAAGTGTCACCTAAACACAATGTTGAAGAGACAGAGGAGAAGGATAAAGAAGAAGAGACGAAATCTGTTGATAACATCGAAGAGGTTATAACTCGTAAACCCGTTGTTGAAATCGAGGAGGAGAAGGAGGAGGAAGAGATGGAGTCTATAGATATACATGAAGAGGAAGAGATTGAGTCTACAGATAGTGATGATGATAGTGAGAGTTCGGATAATGATTCGAAACATGACGAAGACGAAACAGCGAAAGCTAAGGAAGAAACGGTTGTTGATGATGATGATGATGATGATAAAAGGGATTCTCATCATTCATCATTATCACCAGATACTAATTCTACATTAGCTTCTTCTGCTTGGACAGAGAAAGCAGCGGCGATCAAGAACTTTGTAAGAGTGAAGAGCGAAGTTGCGGTGCATACATTGATTCGTCGTCTTTCGGGGAAATTAATTGTTGACAATGCTGGTGGTAGAGATGATGAGGTGAAATCAGTGGAGTCTCCTAAAGTAGAAGGTAAGTCTTTGTGGAATCCTTTAAGTTATTTGAAGATGATGCAGAACGAGGATGATTCGGTTGATCGAGAAGAAGAGGTCGCGTTGGAGCCTGTAGTGATGAAAGGTAGGATTATACTGTATACAAGATTAGGGTGTGAGGAGTGCAGAGAATGTAGGTTGTTTTTGCATGAGAAGAGGCTTAGATATGTCGAGATTAACATCGATATTTACCCGACAAGGAAGGTAGAGCTCGAAAAGATTTGTGGAGGAGGAGATGATGTTGTTCCTAAGGTGTTTTTTAATGAAGAGTTAATTGGGAGTATTAAGGAGCTTAAGGTATTGGAGGAATCAGGAAAGCTTGAGGAGAAGATTAAACATTTGATAGAAGAAGTACCGCCTCGAGAAGCTCCTGTGCCACCTTTTTCGGGGGAAGATGATGCATCGAGTAAAGGTCTTGTGGATGAACTAGCTTTAATAGTGCTGAAGATGAAGCCTTGCATTGTTAAGGATCGGTTTTATAAAATGCGAAGGTTTAAAAACTCTTTCTTAGGTTCAGAAGCTGTGGATTTCTTAGCCGCGGATCAAAGTCTTGAAAGAGAAGCGGTAAGTAATATGATCATTGTGATGTTTTACGAGTAGAGGATTTGACGGTTTTATATATAATCCAATCTTGTTATATAGGCAGTTGAAGTTGCTCGAAAGCTTGCAAGCCAGCTCTTTTTTCAACATGTCTTAGAGTGAGCTTTTCTTGAGGTTTTCTCCTTTATAGTTTGTGCTTCTTTTGTTTCTTATTTTGCATTCTTTCGCGGTTAATTAGGGAGAATCTGTTTGAGGATGGGAATCACTTGTATCGGTTTCTAGACGATGACCCTGTCGTGTCATCTCAATGCCACAACATCCCTAGAGGAATAATTGAGCTGAAGCCGAGACCTATCGCGGAAATTGAGTGTAGACTCAGACTTGTATATCGAGCGATTCTTGAAGCTTACACTTCGCCAGATGGAAAACATGTGGACTACAGAAGCATCCATGGGAGTGAAGAGTTTGCAAGGTATGGTTAATGGCAACCTTTTCTTTATCTACTTTTGCGTCTTATCACTAACTTTTCGATTCCCGAAGGTACCTACGAATAATTCAGGAGCTTCATAGAGTAGAGCTTGAAGATATGCAAAGAGAAGAAAAGCTTGCATTCTTCATAAACCTTTATAACATGATGGCTATACATTCAATACTAGTATGTGGTCATCCAGCAGGAACTTTTGATCGAACAAAGATGTTTATGGAGTTCAAGTATGTAATTGGCAGCTACACTTACTCGCTCTCGGCTATACAAAACGGTATTCTAAGGGGTAACCAGCGACCAATCTTCAATCCAATGAAACCATTTAGTGCAAAGGACAAACGTTCCAAGGTAAAATTTGTTAGTACTAGTCTATTTGAGTCGTTAAGGACTCATGCTTATTCATATCATATGTCTCCTATGTTTTAGGTTGCTCTGCCTTATGCAGAGCCTCTGACTCATTTTGCTCTGGTTTGTGGAACTCGTTCTGGACCACCTCTTCGATGCTTCACGCCTGGAGAGATCGATAAAGAACTCATGGAAGCCGCTCGCGATTTCTTAAGAGGAGGTGGACTCATAGTTGATCTCAATGAAAAAGTTGCATACATCAGCCAAATCTTTAATTGGTAAAGTCTCAACTCAAACACATCTCATTGAATTAAACTTAGTTATACATCGATCTTTCGATTTCCTTAAACCATGAATCTTTGTATAGGTATGGTGGGGATTTTGGTAAGAGCAAAGAGGAAGTACTGAAGCATGCATCAACCTTCTTGGAGCCACAACTTTCAGAAGCTTTGCTTGATTGTCTAGTTGATACTCAGTTTGAAGTTAAGTACCAACGATATGACTGGGGGCTTAACAACTAAAAAGACTTTAACTATATAACTTCAACCTTGGGAAACTTATACTGTTTTTTTTATTTTGAGTTATATCATTACAACAACATAATTTTATAACTTTGGTTCAATTGTGTTTTAGACTCCATATCATCAAAATAGTATATGCTATATCTTCCGGAATTATGATAAAAACTTTATACTCAAAAAATATTAGTATGCTAAAGAGATAATTTTGGACCTATCGTCATGCATGACATAAGCAAATGGACTAAATGAGTCTTTATTTGGACATATCGTCGTCATGCATGACACCATCACATAACACTAATGTTTCAAAAACTATAATATAATTACCTTAAACAGTTAAACTATGATCCAAAAAAGTGTATAATCAACACTCACTAATCTATCTACCTAACTATGATCAAAACATAAGTCTCATAAACTAATTTTTTATATATTACTTTTTACTTAACCTAATCAAAATGTTAATACACATAAGTTTACTTGTATAATGTATTACTTTTTGATTAAACTAATAAAAAATGTTGGTAACGTTAATAATGTTGGTTTAAAATTGTAAGATAATGTATAGTTTTCCTAATTAAGTTGACATGGGATCGAACACCAAATTGACACTACTATTTAAGTTGACCTGTCAGGATAGTTTTGGTCGCTTGTGTGGTAGAGACACTAGAGAATCTATCCCTTGGTTTCCAAGCAATTACTTTTTCAATTTTCAACATTTTCTTTGATATTTCCTAGAATTAAAGAAAACACCAAATGAGGAAACAAACAAAAGATTGAAAAATCAAAATTGGCCGCTGATGAGAAAATTCCATGTACTTACCTACCTTTCTTCATACCAAGCCTATAAATACATCACCAAACCCTCCTCTTATTCTAAAACCTTATTCTCATATAATTTTTCATAACAATCTTGATAAGATTTTTTTAGATAATTATTTTTTCGAAGATCGATGTACGGTGTTGGCGGATCGAGCACAGCGGGTTTTGCAGAGGCTTACGCGATGAGGAAGATTTATAAGGAGAAGATGAAGATGAAGCTTGCAGAGACAAAAGCAGAGGAAGATAATAAGGACAATAATGTTGAAGAGAAGAAGAGTAAAATCTTGAAAACAAAGAAATCGAAGAAGACCCTCCAGACCAATCCAAGGGTTTCTTCTGCAGATTTTTAAATGTATATTTATTTATTTTTCTTAACTTTGTTTATGATGATGGGTTCTAAACTTCAATTTGTTCTTTACTGTATAATATTTTTGTTCATTAATAACAAAAACTGTTGGTTTGTTGTGTATCTAATGCTTAAGCCATATATACTCTCTTTTTTTTTCTTAGAGTCTGAACTCTGAACACATAGAGTATGAAGACTTATTTTTCTTAACAGCATTTCATACGTTCTCAATATGTAATTAGATATCATTCATTTTATTTATTTTGGTTTATAATTAATCTACTAAATTGAAAATAATGATTTACAAAATATATAAAAATACCAATGTTTGTAAAACAAATTTCTTTTCTTAGAGGATTTAGGAGAATTCTCTTAAACACCACTAAATATGTATATTTCCAAAAATAGAGTTCAATTTCCAAAAAACCACTTAGAAACTTTTTCCAAAATATCACAAAACTAAAACTAACATTCAAAAACTAATTTATAAATCCTAAACACTAAACCCTACCCTTAAACACTATAGCCTAAATATAAATAGTCAACCCAAACATAAAAAAGAATTATATACCTTCAAATAATCATTTTTATGTTTATAATATATGTAGAGAAATCAAACTGTTATGGTATTTTTGAGAAAACAAACAAATTGTGGGATTTTTGGAAAAAACTTAAAATGTGGTATATGATAGAAGATCTCAACGATTTATTACTAAGAAATAAATTAAATCTTTACTTATTCACACTTTAGTAATAGGTGGTGCTTGGGTAGGTTAAAGGGTAAATTTCAATCTGAACAATTTCAAAAGTGTATTTTTATACCTCAACTTTGATAACGTGTGAGTTTCAAACTGAACTAAATATTTTTTTCGAATAAACAACATAAACTATCAAATTTGTGCCAATTTCAACATTGACCGGGATTAAGTTTGTCAACTACGATGAGTCAACTACATAAATATGCAAAAGAGATTTTCTGTTTTACTTTTTTAATATTTGGAGACACAAAACCAAGAGCATACAGGAGATCCAACATAAACCGCAAGGCAGACGAATCAACTTCAGAAACCCGTAAAGAATTTATAGATTATTTCAATGTGCTTCAAGTTCTTATATTTGCTATTCGTTTTTCTAAACAATAAAAGACTATTCAACATCCATTTAGTGTTTTTCGTAGTTTATAAACGGTATTTATAAGGTTTTAAAAAGGTTTACAAAGTTTATATAAGGTTTTTAAATGATTTTTAAAAGGTTATTAAAATGTATTTATATGGTATTTATGAAATATATATGAAATTTTACACACAGAAACAAATAATTTGTGTATATATATAAGCTTACAGATATTTTTTGATAAACATCAAAGTTTTTGTGTTTTCTTGATAAAATTTAAAAGAACGGTATTTTAAAAAGTGGTATTGGAAAATGTGTATTTGAAATTAACCCTATTTTATTTTGTAATATTTTAATAATTGAGCTCTTGCCACTCAAATAAATAACAAAACTTAAAAGTAAAATTTGTAATTAGATCACAAGCAAATTGCAAAATTGTAAACAAATATTTATTACATCAAAAACATTTCCTTAAAATCTTTTCCAAAGCTCTCTCCAATATATTTATACAATCTTATTTGCTTTTAATTTATATTACTATATAAAACATATGTATAATAAAAAAACAAATTTTTTTTTGCATATTTTGCAATTTAAATTTTTGAAAACGGATGTATATTATTCAATCGATAAAGAAAAAAATGTATGTACAACTTCTTCAAATGTATGTACAAAAGAGTCTCTCCTACTAAGGAAGTTGCGCACCAAGACTGTCACTCTCTAACAGTGTAAGCCCACTTAACTCTGCACTTGTCTAGGTTCGGTTCTGATACCACTTGTAACAACCCGACCGTCATCTCTCTCAGTGGGTTCCATGTTCACTCTCAGTCCATGGACCCAGCTCTCTTAGTGGACCTGACGTCCTCTTACTAAACCCGTGAGTCCATCCCTATTCAACGGTCGGTTTGCTACGTCCGGTATGCTTAAAGACTTGTTTACCGACCCTACAAATCATCGCATGATCTTTCACTGTGTTTTGGCCTCAGAGAAGGTTCTGAACTAATCGATTATCTCTTTCAAAAAATACCTTCTTATATCCCTTAATCCACATTTTTTATTGCAATAAGGAGACTCTGGAGTTCTGTTTCTAAGACTGATGAACAAGTGTTTTCTAAACTGTGACCTGCAAGTTGGAAAAAACCTTGGGAATCTCTTGATATCCAAGCTGAACTTGGTTCACCTCTTTGTTGTATCTTTGGAGCCACCTTCATTTTTCAAACCTCACTTTTCAGAACTAGGAAATCCAAATGACCTTGTACGTTAATCTGATTAAAATTTCCACGAGACACTAACCAGTAGCCTGACTTAACTGTATACAATCCGAAATCATTATAATGCCATCCAAAGAAGTTCCGGGGACGTGATATGACTTAGACGAATGTTCTGAATTATTTGATAAATCTTCCTCCACTATAAGATGGATCCCTTCCAACCCACTTGATTTACCAATATTAATTAGTTTAATTCATTCACATATAGGCATGTCAATCGGGCTGGCCCGGCCCGGCCTGGCCCGAAACCCGTAAAGCCCTTATATATTTAAGCCCGGCCCGGCCCGGCTCGAACAATATTCGGGCCTATATTTCAAAGCCCGGCCCGGCCCTAACAGGGCTACAGAGCTTTTTCGAGTTTTTCGGGCTTTTCTTGAAAATAAAACTGACTTCAAATTTTATATTTTTTTTGTTGAAAATGACTGAAACAATTCAATTTAAATATAAGTAACCACTAATATTTATTTAAACTCACTTTATTTTAAAAGAATAAAGTTTTTTTATTGGTGAAATTAAAAAAAATGTTTCAAAAGTAAACAAATCCAAACAAAAGAGTTTAAACTCATACCAAATAAAACACAAATCAAAAAGACTTCAAATTAGGTATTAGAGCCAAGATTTGGCTCTCCTTCAATGCCTTCAGAATTCTCCTGCCCTTCCGTGTCTTTAATCTTTCTCATCATTAAGAGCTATATACAAATATTTAACTTATGTTTATAAAGAATTTTGACATGCATGTATAAATCAATAAAATATCATATATAGTTTTTTAAAAAATAATAATAATTATAATAATTACAAATGACATTTATTACCTGGATCATCATACGTAAATCCATCCAACCAAGTCCGTGTACAAACCAGTGCTTCAACGTGTCTTGGTAGAAGACGACTTCTATATTTATTCAAGACATGCGCACCAATACTAAATGAAGACTCTGCTGCCACCGAAGTTATAGGAATACTCAAAACATCACAAGCCATACGAGGTAGCTCCCCATAAGGTTGTGTTTGATTCTTCCACCATTCTAAAACATCCATGTCTTCATAAAAGGTCATTTCCAACCTATCGTCTTCTAAATACACAGCCAATTTCGACTTTCCTTCTTCTATACACACCCAGTGAATCACATACCATAGATCTTAGGTGACACCTTCTAAACAAATTGTAGCTCTAGGTGGTTTTGTTGGTAACCAAGGATCAAACCAAATGCTTGTGTGTGTATAAATATATATCTCAATAATTTTATATAGTTATTGATTTATAGTATTATTAGGATTATATATTTATTAATAAAATTTAAAAATATTATCTTATTACTTTATCGAAATGTGCCGAATTTAGGATAATAAAATTTAATTAGTTTATAGGAGTTATTAATTGATCAAATATAGTTTTTATAGTTTTTTTTTTTTTTTTGTATTGAAAAAAAAAGGTAAAGTGTGGATACATTATTATAAAAAATGAAAATAATATATCTATATTATAACAAAGGGATTAAGTCCAAAGACCAATTGATCCAACGGTTAAGATCCAATTGATGATTTAATCAACTGCAGATATTTCAATTTCTCTTTTGTTAGTTTCCTTTTTTCCTATCTGCTAATAAAATACGATGCCCTTTCTTATATTATTCAATTTTTTTTTATATATATTATTCAATTTCAATCTCAATTCTTAAATTTCTCTTCTTTTTTTCCTCTCAACAAATCCGAAATTCAGATTTAATTAGGGTTTTCAGTGCAGTTAACAATGTTTCCATCGATGGAGTTTATGAAACCTTTAGGCAAAGGTTCGTATGGTTCGGTCGATCTCGTCAGATTCATGAAACCAGACGGCTCGAATCCGTACTACCAAGCCGTGAAAACCTCCTACCCACAAGACTTTGAACCTCTTCTCAAAGAGTTTCAGATTCTGTATAAACTCAGAGAATGCCCTAGAATCGTGCAAACTTGCGGGACAAGTCTGTCGAGAGGTGTCAATGATTACGGAATCAGAGTGTATAGAATGTCAATGGAGTATGCAGCTGGTGGAAGTTTAACTAATCTCATGGAAACAAAGTCATTGTCTGATTCAGTAATCAGAGACTTCACTCATATGATTCTTGAAGGACTTGTCTCTATCCATAGTCACGGTTATGTTCATTGCGACCTCAAACCTGAAAATATTCTCGTGTTTCCTCGTACTAGTGGGTGCAACGTTTCATACGAATTGAAGATTTCGGATTTTGGAATGGCGACAAAAGTTGGACAAGACTCGGAGTTTTGGGAATATGATTCTCCGTACTTGGGAACGTCTCTTTACATGTCGCCTGAATCTGTTCAAAACGGGATAGCAGAGGAAGCCCTAGATTTGTGGTCGTTAGGTTGTATCGTGTTGGAGATGTACACTGGTGAGCCTCCATGGCCGCTCGAAGATTCTATGAATCTTTTGTCTCTTTTGTTGAATGGTAATGCTCCAGAGATACCAGAGTCTCTTCCTTGGGACGCAAGGCAGTTTTTACAAACATGTTTCGCTAGTAATCCATTGGAAAGAGGAAGTGCTTCGGAACTACTGAAACATAAGTTTCTACATAATGTTTCCGATCATAAGAAGGTGAGGGTGTTGAAGTCTAAGCATTTTTCGAAGAAGGTACTAAAAGTGAAGATTGTTCCACCAAAACCACCAATGTTTAAGAAAATTTCGAATAGACCTATGAGGTTGAAGATTATACCTCCCAAACCCCCAGGATAGTAGAGTGTCCATAATATCAAGTTAATGACGTTAATACAATTGTAATGCTTCAATTATTATCAAATTGTATTGTATTTTTGTTATCTACTTATTAGAGAAAATCTTTTATTTTAAACTTGGAGAATTTATGTGAATGTGTTTTTCTCTCTGTTTTTTATTTCTGTCAAACAAACTATTTGTAGGCATGGGCGTTCGGGTATTTCAGGTTTTCAGCTTATCGGGTTTAGAGATATAAAACACGTTCGGGTATTTCAAGATTTTGGGTTTGGTTTGGGTATTTCAAGATTTTGGGTTTGGTTCGGGTATTTCGGGTTCGGATTCAGATTAACAGAAATACTCAAAATTCTCAAAATTTGAGGATCCAAATATGTCCAAACTACTAAAAACATCAAAAAAATGTATATAATGTATGACTTAGAAAGAGTTTATAACTTAAAATTTTCCAAATATACAAAAAGAATAATTTTGACTATATATTTATATTATGGGTGTTTCGGGTTTCCGTTCAGATTTTGGTTTGGATCGGGTTCGAGTTCTCGGGTTTAGAAATATGTAACCCGTTCAAGTATTTTTAGAATTCGGGTTTGGATTTGGATCGGGTTTTTCGCGGTTTTTTGGGTTTGGTTATCTTTCCCAGGCCTAATTTAAGTAGTTTTCGATATATGCAAAGTTTGATTGAAGATGATCTACTTGTAATCAGTAATGTATTACTTGTGACTGACTGTTTTCAGTAAGATCGTAGACATGTAGTGACAGTCCTTTCTTCAAAAGTACAAATCTCTAAATTTTCCTCTTTTTTTTTTCTTATTTGTTCCTTGATTACAAGTTTCCAATATCACATTTTCAAAGTGGAACTGATCCATCTCTCCAAATTTTCACTAAATGGTAAATGCTAATTCCTAACACTTCACTATCAAAGGAAGACCCATAAGAAATTTCCTTTTTTCAGTCCAAATAGTTAATTGTATCAAAAGTCAACTTTGGAACCGTTTTCTATGACTAGTCAAATCCCTTTGAAAGCCTAATTGCTGTTTCTATATATTTCCAATGGATCCACACAAAAAAAAAACAAAAAAAAAAGCAAGACATCTTACTCAAATCTTTCAAGAAGCATGTTCCAAGTTGAAACCACCGTTCAGGTTTCAATGAAAGAAACATTTCTTTAGTGTATTTTTGTTAAGCTAATCATTTTCGACAGATTCTTGCTCGTTGGTTTGAGGATGAGTTGCTGGAGAAAGAAGATCGGACAAGCCACTGGACCACAAAAACTGTTTATGGATAATGGAAGCATTCTATTAGAAGAGGTCGTCAAATGTTGCGACGGTAAAAACAATCCGATTATAAATTTTTCTGCTGACCAGATCCTTAAAGCAACCAACAATTTCAACCAGAGTAATCTTGTCGAGAAAAATGATTGTAATTACCATTTCTACAGAGGTACTCTTGATGATAATAGACTAGTAGTAATCAAGAAGAAGGCATATGGAGGCCTTCATGCCAGAAAGATATGCCGTGACATCTCGATTTCATCAATGGTGAGTGGTCAGAAGAACTTCATCAAGTTGTTGGGATGTTGTCTTGAATTCACTTGTCCTGTTCTAGTATGTGAATATGCAGAGGGCATAACTCAGAATGATCTGCACCAAATCGATCCAACATTACCATGGAATACAAGGATAAAGATAGCTAGAGATATCTCAAATTCGTTAGCCTACCTTCACACCGCCTTTTCAACAACATTCATCCACAAAAACGTGCATCCTCGGAACGTATTCTTGGATGTGAAAGGGGTCGCAAAGTTGGGAGATTTCCGCAATTGCGTAACGATTCCGCAAGGAGAATCCTTTGTACGAGAATACAAACTAGAGGGAACGTATGGATACCTAGATCCTAACTACATGTCAAAGGGAATAATCACCGAGAATGTGGATGTCTATAGCTTTGGAGTATTTATGTTAGTTCTCTTGAGCAGAAGAACTCCAGGTTTGGATGATGAACTACATCCAGATTTTCTGACCGAGTTGGCGAAAAATGGCAGATTTGTTGAAATCTTGGATCCAAATTTGTTGGAAAACATAGGTGACTTTGCAGAACAAGAGCTATGTCGCATGCAAGCTTTTTTTCTACTTTCACTCAAATGCATCGGTGTTAGAGGAGAAGTTCCGGAGATGATGGAAGTGTCCAAGGAACTGAAAAGGATTGAGAGATCCTAAGCAAAGTTAGTACTTGCTCACTTTGACTATGGGGATTTTAAAAGGGCTTCTAATTCTATATAGGGTCATTCACTTGATTTGTTTTCACTTTTTGATATGTAACTAGCCCTGGGCATTCGGGTACTTTGATCGGGTTTGGGTTTCTCGGGTAGAGGAGTTTAGGATCCAATAGGGTAAACATAAAAATTCGTTCGGTTTCCGTTCGGATCCATTCGGGTTTGGGTCGGTTCAGGTATAAATTTTCAGAACCGTTAAAAATCCGAGATTTTTCGGGTACACAAATACCCGAATATTTACCCGACTCTTTTTCGTTTTCAAAAATTGTTTCAAGTACTGTATATGAATATGTTTTCAGATTTATTTCCTTTGTTGTGGTTCATGTTTTGGTTAAAAGCATTATTTGAATTTTTTTTAAAGTAAAAAAACTGCGTCTTCTCCAAGGGTGCTTAACCGTTATTTATAATACAAATATAGATGATTACCAAAAAAAAAAAAATACTAATATAGATTATACAAAATTTAAGAAACTCATGAAAGTGATAAAGAAAAATATGCTCCAATGGTAAAAGTTGTTAAAAGGTTCTTAAAATTTAAAATTTGAAAATCAAAATGCAGTCCAAAACATACTCCAACTTAACTTGATACACACTCTTGCGCTCTTGAGTTTGTGTCAATTATGCAGTCTAAAATTTGCTTCAATGTCATTGGTGCTTTAATAATCTTTTAGAAAATGAATCAGATCACTACAAGAAAACATAAGGAATTCCGACGAAAACATTGGTCGGAAATATTTCGAGTAATTTCCGACTAATTTCCGACAAAAAACCAAGGAAAATGAATTAGTCGGAAATTAGTCGGAAAAGTAGGACAATTTTCCGACGATAAGAGCCCAGGCTCACCATGTCTTACAATGACTTCACTCAGCTGAGGAATGTAATGCCTATAACCAAATCAGAAAAGAAAACGTGAGCATTTAAAGTCAGATGAATGGATTAGAAAATGCGAGATAAGATTTGGTCTTTTTTACCGGCATAGCTCTCCCCAATTATATATAAAAGTCCCTGCCTTTGTACTCCAGGAACCGCTCAACCCATTTCAGCAGAAATTTCAGTGAGTCTTGGGATGTAAACTATAAACCACTTACCAAGAAGACAATGACCTTAAAGCAGCTAAATCATTACCAGTTCTCTTATCAGACGAGGTGTTTGAGTACGAATAACCACCTCCAACTGGCGCATCAAGGAACAGAGTATTCGCAGCTGCACAAAGAAAGAAAAGTAACACGAAAGCTTTTAAGCTTTTTTGAATCATAGCTCTCTAGCCAACATACTCTTAGCACATCTCAGCTCATCATTACCTTGGATCCAAGAATATTGATTAAGGTGAAGAGTCTTCTCATCTCAACAAGATTACAGAAAACTCCCTAGCAATCTTATAGAATATTTCATTTACATACAATCTATGATTATACTAGAGTCATCTAAATTCGTTATGTGGCACAAAACCAATAACACCCCCTAAATTAATTATATAATTAAAATTAAACTAATCAAAGCAATTCATTAACAACTTTGAACAAAATAATTCTTCCACTAGAGAATCCTTATCGAGAGTACTTAATCATTAAAATAGTATTTTATTAACAATTGTTAATTGTATATTGTTTGGAGAACCCACATTTTGGAGAAACCAAATTTTGAGCAGTAGAAGCAGGAACTGGTTGTGATGAAACTGCTGGAGTTGGTCACAATCAAAAGGAACATGCTAATCTCTGAATTTCACAACACAAGCCAGGAAACAAGCTAAAGTCTGTGAATTTCAAGTTTAACATGAGAGGTTGTAGCACTACAAAAAATACACTATGCATTAAGATTCAAGTATGCAAAGACTACACAACAAACAACCCGAATCAAATAGACCACACAAGGAACCAATATATTCAAATTAGCATTAGACCACGCAGTACACAGATTCGAATAATTAAAAACCATGCAACAACTAACATATTCAAACCAACCATATAAGCCCATTAACAAGCAGTGTGCTTAGGTTTTTTTTTTCTAAAGCATAGATCATACCAACAACAAAAATAGTTCAAGTCATGGGTTCCAGTTTATAGACTATGCACCATCCAACGAATATATTGAAGTCTCTAAACAATTAATTCAAAACACATGATTAAATCTAGGCATACAAGCTGATGAATCAAGCCATGACTTAAACGTATTTACAACGCAAGCAACGACATATTCAAGTTGTTAGTATTATACCACACATCACACAATCAGGCAAGCAAATACCACATAATAAACAACAGATTCAAGTATGCAAAGACTACACAATAACCAACTAAACCAAGTCATAATCACCGAGAATGTGGATGTCTATAGCTTTGGAGTATTTATGCTAGTTTGGTTGATCGTGTTGTACATTACGTAAAGTTTATATTCTAGTAAGAAAAAAGATGGCTGGCTACACCAACTATAGAATAATGCATGGTCACCCATGCCAAGTATCATATTGTACACCCAGGTACACGAACTAGATGTATTGCATGGCCACATGCATCAACTATACAACGTCATGTAGTCAACACCATAAACATAAAACTCTGGTACACCGGTCAACTGATTCTGGCGTTGACCGGTGTTGACTTCGGCATTGACCGTTTTTGACCAAAAAAATATTAAAAAAAGTTATATAATTTTTTTTTTAGTTTACGTATCAACTATAGTTGGCATGTGTAACCAATTTTTTTAGTTTTTTAACAGTATAAAAAATTATATAAAAAAGAAATTTTGAATATTTTTTTGTCAAAAACAGTCAATGCTGCAGCCCTGTAAGGTTGCTATGTGGCGGGATGTGTCATGTGGCGGAATCCCACTGGGCGGTTTGTTACAAATTTTCTCACCTAACCTATTAGAAGACAACTTCATAGGCTTTTCCAACCATACTTGAAACCCTACATAAACAAGTTGAAAATATTAGTTTATTTTAATAAAATTTAACAAATACCGAAAGTTTATAAAAAAGAGATTAAATAGAATATCTGAAAATAGAACAATCTAGTATATAAAGATTTAACAAAGAACAAATGTAAATTTTGAGTGCTATAAACAAATTGTCAAAAATGATTGGGTGATGAATAGTTTTTGAGTATTTGAGTTTGGGATAATCAGTGAACTGTCTTATTTATAGATACATTTAGTCGGTTGTGGTATTCATTGATTTGTCAAGTTTTGGTAAGAATTAATATATTAGAATTTGTAAGAGATTTTATTATTTTTAATTAATATGTTAATTATGAAATGCAGGAAATCTTTTGATATATGATTAGACCTACATTTTTCGAAAATATATAATTTAAAAATATACGAAAATAAAGATTTGCAAAGACTTAAATATTTATTATTTATAAATAATAATAGCAAATGAAGTGTTTAATCGAAATTTTAGATAATTAAAATTTTACTATAGTTTATTAACATCTAACAATCTATATTTTAGGAACAAACATTTAATGGGTTTAGATATCTTTATAATTCAGTTACCTTAATATACGTTCTAATCTTTTTTTTTCAAAAAACAAGTTAAATTATTCTATTTGTTCTAACTAAAGTTATATGTTTTACACTTTTTAATTATATATTATGCTCACTTTATTGAAAATGCTTTCCTTTTAAGTAGATGATTATGTATTAGGAAATGTACATTATTAGTGAAAAGATTTATTGTATTGATTTACCAAATTTGATTCATTGAAATCGGTTTCTTATAAGCATAGGTGTTATGTAATATGTATTTAGATCATGATTAATTGCTTGTTTTATTTTAGGAATGTTGGTTAATTATTGATTAAATTAATTTATTAACTATATTAAACATTAGTAGATGAATCCAAAATAATGAATAAATTGTTTGCTATATTTTAGGAATGTATTTTAAAGAGTGATTATATTATTTAATCTTCTCCAAGATTTCCGTCGATGGTTTAGGTGTAGCATTAAATTTTATGAGTTTAATTTGTTTCTATATAATTGTTTCTATAATTAAGGTATTCGGTTATGATGATGTCGAATTAAATTTTATGAGTTTAATTTTTTTATATAGTTGTTTCTATAATTAAGGGGTTTCGGTTATGTAGTTTTCTTATAATTACGTTGGTTTTGTTTTACTTTTTTTTTTTATTGTATAAACTATGATTAACTTATACAAAATGGTTCCCTTTTAATAGTATAGATATTCGATGAGTATAATTTAAGTGAAGAAAGGAAATGATTTAAATCAGTATGGGAAGGCCCAGTTCGCAATTACTAGATTCGGCCTAGTTAGCAATTATTGAGAATGTGTTATTCAAGAGTCTCGGTGTGTTACTCTGGTCAGAAAATGTGAATTTACAGGTTAATTAATGAAATTGACCCGACCCAGGTTGTATTCTGTTCCAATTTTAACCTTAATGAACCATAATTTTTTGTTGTTTTCTTTGAAAGCAAAACCGGAAATCTAGGGGTATGTCTTGGTATTGTAGAAATTGTACTTCTGTTATACTATATAGGGGATAACTTAAAAAGATTTGTAATGGATATAGATATATTAATTTGTAAGAAAAATTGATTTGAAAAGTTTTAGTAATTTCTTTTGTATTTACATTTTCTCTAAACTTTTATAAATTGATTAGATTTTCTTTCTATTTGGTATTTTATATTTATAAATAAAATAATAATAGTAAACATAATATCAATAAAACTAATTCTGAGTTAATGTTTTATTTTTATCAAATGAAATTAAAAATTACTATCATATTTAAACATTATTAATTAATTCAAATGGTAGGGGTAATATTAGAATTTTATTTTTGGTTTGAAATCGTTGGTAGGAATTTACAAAAAGTTAAATAAACGAAGACTTTTTATAACAAAATTAAATTAACAAAGTTTTTTAGTCTAACTAAAAAAGTACATGTATTAATCGTCCAAAAAAATAATAGATGGCGAATTTTTAGGCTTTTCCCCTATTTCATAAATATCATATAAATACTTTTTAAATACCTAATAAAACAATTTAAAAATCTTATAAAATCCTTGTAAAGTTTTTAAAAACCTTATCAAACTCTTTTAAAACCTTTTAGACTAATATTCTGTACACGCTTAGTGCATATTATGCATTAAGAAATTGAGAGAACGCTAAAAACTATTATCCAAAACTACATTAGACTATATGACTCTTGAACAAACGTGAATACGTGATGTAATATGTACCACTCAATATCAATTCCTTTACAAACAAGAAAATGTATATAATTATGTGTTTTTTTTATTTTATTTTACTTTTGTACATTCAAGTTAAAATATATATATATACAATAAAATAAAAGGGAGTAGAACTTTACAATTTTCGATAATGACTATGTTGAAAACTTGAATCTTTATTTTCATTTTTATCTCGTAATTAGATTAATATTGCACTAATCCTTTTGTTAAATGTTTTTTATAAGAATTTATTAGTGCATAAAACAAAGACATTTCAAAGAAAAATGTTAACATGTTGAAAGTGGAATAACATTTCCTTAAAACCAGATCCCAACGATTATTTTCTTTATTGATGTTCTTGTTGCGAAAAGTTCTTATTATTGAAAATCTATCATACGGTGTGACAACAACATATAATAGAAGATAGTTATTATAAACTCTATCCAATTAAGAGTATTTTCTGCTTTGATGATCCTCCTATTCAAATTTTGTGAACAAATGTTATAATTTTTTTTCTTTTATTGATTCCAATTAATAATATAATACAATAGACTTGATCACACTTTATCAATGAGAAATTAAAGAGATACGATCTAATCATATTCCTAACTATATAAAATCTTGAATTTTATCCTAAAACAAATCCAAGAATAAACAAAAACATCACCAACACAAGTGTTCAACAACTCAAAATCAAGTAAAATGCACTACATTAAAAATGCATTTATTTGTTAACCTTAATTCATGTTCTTAGACAAATGTGTATAGAAAATATAATTTAGTTGCATCCGAAAATTAGTTTAAAGATACAAAAAAAGAAAAAGAAAAAGAAAATTAGTTTAAAGATGAACCAACCTTTTGAACATGACTCCTTTTAGACAATTTTCAAATCCGGTTTGGTTAATTCCGGTTTGGTTAATTCCGGGTCAATACAATCACAAACTTTTGAGTTTCCAAATTTTTCATTTTGCGTCCCCCAAATTTTTTTAAAAACCCGCCTCTTCTCTTCTCGTGTCTATCTAGAATCTTCCCTCTCTGGCTCTCTCTATATCACTATAACCTAGGGCAATCAAAACACATCTCTCTCCCTCTCTGCCTCTCTCCCTCTCTCCATATCTCTCTCTGATCATTTTGTTCTCATCGGAAATGGCAAGTGACGGCGCTGGTGTTCCAAAGTCGAAACCTTTAGCGGACGAAACCCTCGATTCCATCACGCCTCCGCACGTGACTGGTTTCTCCGGCGGCGAAGCCGATCATCTCCCTGTTTTGGTCTCATCGGACATGGCGAGTGACGGCGGCGGTGTTCCAAAGTCGGCGGATGAAACCCTCGATTCCATCGCGCCTCCGCACGTGGATGATTTCTCTGGCGGCGAAGCTGATCATCTTCCTGTTTTGGTCTCATCGGAAATGGCGAGTGACGGCGACGGTATTCCAAAGTTGGCGGATGAAACCCTCGATTCCATCACGCCGCCGTACGTTGCTGCTGACGGCGAAGCTGATCATCTTCCTGTTTTGGTCTCATCGGAAATGGCGAGTGACGGCGACGGTGTTCCAAAGTTGGCGGATGAAACCCTCGATGGCATCGCGCCTCCGGACGTGGCTGATTTCTCCGGCGGCGAAGCTGATCCTGTTTCCGGCGTCGTGGGTCATGAATCTGGTGATGAGTCTATGACTGATGCTGATGAGGGTGAGAATAGAAGGAAGCGACAGTTACCGAGTGGTGAAGACGATGTGGTGGATGGAGAAATCGCGAATCTCGATGTTGATCCGTTTGGTGGAAAGTTGAATTGTTCTTTGTGCTCTCAGTTGCTTGAAAGACCCGTCTTGGTTCGTTCTCTCTCTTGCTCTCGATGTTGATTCTGTGACTCGTTTTATTGTAAAGTTGGAACCTTTTTGTTGTTGTAGTGTTTCGATCATATGATTTTGTTGTGGAATGATCATGAGAAAGCAAAAAGGAGACATTTTTAAAGGGCTCATCTTAAGTTTCTTGATGTTGATGTGTTTGCTCTTTTTGTGGATTCTAGGGTTATTCTTAGGGCTTGTTAATGTAGGGTATGCAGTGTGTTTTCTTTGAATTTTTGACTGGTTTTGTTGTAAAGCTCGAATCTTTTTTTTGTTATAGTGACATGTTACTAGATATGATTTGTGTTGTGAGTTTGGCAAAACATGAACATGACCAAGAAAATGAGATTTTTGACGTTTATATCTAATGTGTTTCTTAGATTCTTTTACCCGTTTTCATATCTTAGGTTGAAACTGTATCTCTAGTCTATTTGAGTGTTTCTCCTTATTTGTCGAATCTCATTTATTGTATATGATCTGTTTACACTTGAGCTACTACTTTGAGCTTGTAGACTGCCACAATTAAGATGCTCGATATTTAGAAATTCAGCAGTGGAATCGTTTCTTTGTGCTCTTTGTTATATTATACAGCGGCATTGACTTTATTGTGTTGTGATAAAACTGTATCTGAAGAGATACCATAATTGCAAAGTTCAATTATGCACAAAAGTTATGTATGCCAATACGTTTTTTATACTTGTTTTGGTTGGATTAGTTATTTGGGAGTTATCATTGTGTTGTTGAAATGTTGTGTGCACTTTTATTGATGGTATAGTTATTCTGTTTTTGTGTTTGGTTCCTTTCATGGGCTGTTTCTTTCTGTTCATGTTTAACAAGATGGTGTTCTTGTCAAAGACAGTCATGATTGTATATGATTGATTACATTTTTTAAGTATTGTCTTCTTTTCAATGTAAGTATTTTTGACAAAGATGAGGCTCTTGATTAAGGCTGATGGTTAATCTTGTATGTGTTTTTGTTTTTCAGACACCATGTGAACACAACTTCTGTTTAAACTGTTTTGAAAAGTGGATTGATCGAGGGAATACCAGTTGTGCAAAATGCCGTAGCCCAATTCCTGACAAAATGGCAAGCAATCCTCGGGTGAACACGTTTCTGGTGCCTTTTATCCGTACTGCAAAATCTTTTCCGTTGATGAACAACCAGGATGGTCTAGAGCATGCCATTAAAAGCAAGCGCGCAAAGAAAACTGCGACTTCAATGATGTATGTTACAACACCATCAGATCACTTTGGTCCTATACCTGCTGAGAATGATCCTATCAGGAACCTAGGTGTGTTAGTTGGTGAATCCTGGGAAGACCGAGCAGAGTGTCGCCAGTGGGGGGCTCACATTCCACATATTGTTGACATTGCGGGTAAATCAGATTACGGAGCTCAATCTGTAGCACTCTCGGGACGTTTTAAGGATGACGTGGATAATGGTGAATGGTTTCTATTCACAGGAAGGTTTGTTTCTCATTACTCCTAGCTTTTAGTCCATTTGACTAATCCTAATCTTGTAGATGTTACTTCTCTCATGTTTAGTAGCTATATATTGTCCAATTTGTTGACAGCCTTTTTTGTTTGTTCGTCTTGAATATGTGCCAATGTGTCTCAGTGGCAAGGGATTCGAGGATCAGAAATTTGAAGGAGTGAATGAAGCTTTAAGAGTTAGTTGCAAATTTGGGTATCCTGTTCGAGTTGTCAGGTTAGCAGTTTCTCACATTCTCTTGATTGATTAAAGAATAGGTTGTTTGTATTAGGTTATCCTCTTGAGTTACAGGATTGTCCCTTAGATGCAGCTTATAATTTCAGTTGCCTTAAATAGGTCTTACAGGCAGAAGCGTTCTGCATATGCCCCTGAAAAAGGAGTGAGATATGATGGTGTTTACAGGATTGAGAGGTGCTGGCGCATAGCTAGAATGAATGTACGTATTTGTAACTAAACAACCGAAATTTTTCACATGTTCTGTCCTGACCTATTCTTATGTTTTCCTCAGGATTCTTTTAAGGTCTGCCGTTATTTGTTTGTGAGATGTGACAATGAGCCAGCTCCGTGGAACAGGTTTGATCTAGTTCTTGACAACACTCTTTTCGATATATACATCGTATTTGAAGTTTAATATTGTGACATATTGCAGTGATGAGCATGGAGATCATCCAAGACCTTTGCCTACTTTTGAAGAGCTTAATGAGCCCACAGACGTGTTTGAGAGAACGGAGAGTCCAGCATGGGATTTTGATGTAAGTTCCAAGACATCTTGATCACTTTCCCGATTATAACAGTTAGCAGATATCAAATTTGCTTCTGCATAATCAATTATATTGGTAACCCATCCACTGTACATATATTGATAATATACGCTTATTTGATCAGGAAGGTGAGGGTCTTTGGAAATGGATGAAGCCTCCACCTGAGAGTCAAAAGTTAGGTCATGATTCGGACGAAGATTCGGGTGATGAATGGGAAGAAGATTTGGTGGAAGATGAGAGCATTCAAGAGAGGTTCGCTTTGGAATGTCTTGCCCTCTATGTCGCCTTCAGGCTCAGTGTTTCATCATCTACCGTATACCGTGATTAGAAGAATCACAGGCAAATAACTTGACTCTTTTTGGTTGGATCCCTTAGTTATCTCTTTTTGGTACCAAAACACTCCTCTCTTATAACTCTTTTAAGTCGGGGCATGTACTTTTTGTATATTACAATCTCTCCCGGCTTCCTGAAAAGGTTTATGTGAAATATTTTTAAAACCTGTTGGATAGTATGGAGACATGTATGGTCCGTTCGACATACACCTCTCTTCTCCTTTGATAGTTCTAGGCTGCTTAGATAAACGAAACCTTAACTCGTTACACACCTCGACAGCTTAAAGCCTTTGTCGATTTTGCGAGTCTCCTCTCTCGCTACTCGCTACTACCTTGTTCTTCACGTCAAGGTAAATTGCTTAGAGATTAGCCTTGAGGTTTCGAGTTAAACCTTCACCACATCAGAACATCATAAACTCCGATAGAAAAACAAGTCTCTTACTCCGTTAGAAAGTAAGAGTGAAAAGTTTCAGTAAGAAAAAACAAAAGCTATAGCTGAAGCTGAAGAAATGTTTTAGCTAGACATAATGAAGATAACATCTTGCTTAGATATGATTGATGATTCAATAAAGGGAAAAAAAAACCCTAAAGTTTGTCATAATTATAAAATTAAAGTCTACTGCTTCTTTATATACCCAATCCAACATATAATTTTTTTAACTGTAAAATCTAAACCCTAGCTATATATTGTATAAACTCAAACTGATATATAATCTCGTTAATTGTAAACTCAAGTAATTTTTTTTGCAAGAAAACCCTCCACATCAAATAAAATGCACGTCAATACTATGATCTCAAAAGTCATCCGCAATATAGTCTTTTTTTGTACCGAAGACATGGCCATTTGAAAATCTTGTTGCTTTGATAATAAAAATATGGCAAGACATTCAAATTAATTTTTAATTAAAATGTATCTCAATCCTAACAAAATATTTTTCTTGAAAAAGAGATAATTGGCATAGTTGATTTCAGACGACTCATTTTACAAATGTTTTGGTTAATTCCGGTTCAATGCACTAGATAATATTCCGTCAGTTGTAGAAAAAATGATCTCTTGGCCATATTTTATTTTCAAAAATTAGATGATTTTCTCACAAATCTATGCAAAATTAATTAGATTTTTTTTTATTAATTTCAATAATTTGTATTCTACATATTGTTTTTTCATTGGTCAAATTGTTTATATATATTTTTTTGTTTACTCTTGATTTAATATTTATTGCAAATTATGAGAATTATTACAATGATGATTTTATTACCGATAATTCTGTCCGATCCTATTAGATTCACTACAGATTATACTTTTTTATGACTAAATTTTATTCTCTATTAAAATAAGCAAAAATGAAATAATTTATTATAGGACGGAGGAAGTGAACAGTCAACGAGTTTAGATTTTGATTTTCCTTTTTAATTTTGCGTTACCCAAATTGTTTTAAAAACCCGCCTCTTCACATTTCGTCTCTCTAGGTCCAGTGTTATACACACTTCTCTCGCTCTCCGAGCTTTTTGCCTATTGTTCTCAATCGGAAATGGCGAGTGACGGCGACAATGTACCCAAGTCGAAACCTTTAGCGGATGAAACCCTCGATTCTATTGCGCCTCCGCACGTGAATGATTTCTCCCCCGGCGAAGCTGATCCTTTTCCTGTTTCCGGCGTCGTGGGACACGAATCTGCTGACGATCCAGATCAGAGTGAGAATAAGAAGAAGCGACAGTTACCGAGTGGTGAAGAAGATGTTGGAGATGGAGAAATCGCGAGGCTCGATGTTGATCCGTTGGGTGAAAACTTGAATTGTTCTTTGTGCTTTCAGTTGCTTGAAAGACCCGTCTCGGTTCGTTCTCTCTCTCTTGCTCTCTATGTTGATTCTGTGACTCGTTTTGTTGTAAAGTTGGAACCTTTTTGTTGTTGTAGTGTTTTGATCATATGATTTTGTTGTGAAATGATCTTGAGAAAGCAAAAAGGAGAGATTTTTAAAGTGGGCACCTTTAGTTTCTAAGTGAAAAGTTGAGTCTTGACTCTTGATGTTGATGTGTTTGATCTCTCTCTGGGTCCTTGCTCTTTGTATGGATCCTAGGGTTGTTCTTATGCTTGTTAAGCTAGTGTATCTAGTGCGTTTTCTTGGATTCTGTGACTGTGTCTTGTGTTTTCTTTGATTATGTGACTCGTTTTGTTGTAAAGTTGGAATCTTTTGTTGTAGTAGTGTTTTGATCATATGATTTTGTTGAGAAAGCAAAAAGGAGAGATTTTTGAAGGGTGCACCTTTAGTTTCTAAGTGAAAATTCGAGTCTTGATGTTGATGTGTATGATCTCTCTCTGTATGGATTCTAGTGTTGTTCTTATGCTTGTTAAGCTAGTGTATCTAGTGCGTTTTCTTGGATTCTGCGACTGGTTTTGCTGTAAAGTTTGAATCTTTTTTGTTATATTGTCTGATCACTGTTACTTTTGTGAATTTGACAAAACATGAGCATGACCTAGACAAAAAAGAGAGATTTATATAGGGCACCTTTAGTTTCTTGATGTTGATGTGTTTGCTCTCTGGCTCCTTGCTCTTTTTGGGGATTCTAGGTTTGTTCTTATGACTTGTTAATGTAGTGTATCTAGTGTGTTATCTTGGAATCTTTTAGGTTTTTTGGGCTGAAAATCTGAAAATCTTTTAGGTTTTTTAAGTCTGTTTACACTTGAGTTACTACTTTGAGCTTGTAGACTACCACAATTAAGATGCTTAATATTTACAAATTCAGCTGTGGAGTCGTTTCTTTGTGCTGTTTGTTATATTATACTACGGCATTGACTTTATTGTGTTTTGATAAAACTGTATCACAAAGTAAATATATAGATTCCATAATTGCAAAGTTCAGTTATGCACAAAAGTTATGTATGCCAATACGTTGCTTATACATTGTTTTGGTTGGATTAGTTAGTTGGGAGTTATCATTGTGTTGTTGAAATGTTGTGTGCACTTTTATTGATGATATAGTTATTCTGTTTTTGTGTTTTGACACCGTTTATGGGCTGTTTCTTTTTGTTCATGTTTAACAAGATGGTGCTCTTGTCAAAGACAGTCATGATTGTATATGATTGTATATGATTGTTCACATTGTTTAAGTATTTTTGACAAAGATGAGGCTATTGATTAAGGATGATGGTTAATCTTGTATATGTTTTTGTTTTTCAGACACCATGTGAACACAGCTTTTGCTTACGCTGTTTTGAGATGTGGATTAATCGAGGAAATAACTGTTGCGCAAAATGCCGTAGCCCAATTCCTGAAAAAATGGCAAGCAATCCTCGTGTTAACACGTCTCTGGTGTCTATTATCCGTACTGCAAAATCTTCTCCGCTGATAAACAACCAAGATGATCCAGAGAATGCCGTTAGAACCAAGCGGGCAAAGAAAACTGTGAGTGGAAGGATATATGTTACTATACCATCAGATCACTTTGGTCCTATACCTGCTGAGAATGATCCTACCAGGAGCCTAGGGGTGTTAGTTGGTGAATCTTGGAGTGACCGAGCAGAGTGTCGCCAGTGGGGAGCTCATTTTGCACATATTGCTGACACTGCGGGTAAATCAGATTATGGTGCTCAATCTGTAGCACTCGCGGGAGGTTTTAAGGATGATGTGGATTATGGTGAATGGTTTCTATTCACAGGAAGGTTTGTTTTTCATTATCCGTAGCTTTTGGTCCATTTGACTAATCTTAATCTTGTAGATTTTACTTGTCTTATGTTTAGTATCTATTGTCCAATTTCTTGACAGAATTTTTTCTTTGTTCGTCTTGAATATGTGCAAATGTGTCTCAGAGGCAACAGAAGAAGTAGCGAGGAACAGAAATTTGAAGGAGTGAATGAAGCTTTAAGAGTTAGTTGCAAATTTGGGTACCCTGTTCGAGTTGTCAGGTTAGCACTTTTCTCACATTCTTGCTTTTTTTTTTTTTGCCATTGAAATTGGTTCTTGATTGAATAAATAATATGGAGTTAAGCTAAGCTTGCTGCAATTATCCTGTGAGTTACTGGAGTATTCCTTAGATACACCTCATAATTTCAGTTTGCTTAATTAGGTCTTACAGGCAGAAGCATTCTGCATATTCCCCTGAAGAAGGAGTGAGATATGATGGTGTTTATAGGATTGAAAAGTGCTGGCGCATAGCTAGAATGCATGTACGTATTTATATGTTTGCAGGATTGGCGCATGTTCACATGTTCTGTCCTGACCTATTCTTATGTCTTCGTCAGGATTCTTTTAAGGTCTGCCGTTATCTGTTTGTCAGATGTGACAATGAGCCAGCTCCTTGGAGCAGGTTTGATCTACTTCTTGACAACACTCTTTTTGATATATACATCCTATTTGAAGTTTAAGGTCATGACTTATTGCAGTGATGAGCATGGAGATCGTCCAAGCCCTTTGCCTAATATTCAAGAGCTTAATATGGCCATAGACCTGTTTGAGAGAGAGGAGAGTCCAGCATGGGATTTTGATGTAAGTTCCAAGACATCTTTGATCACTTTCCTGATTATAACAGTTGGCACAATTTACTCATCCACTGTACATATATTGATCATATACGCTCATTTGATCAGGAAGGTGAGGGTCGTTGGAAATGGATTAAGCCTCCACCTGTAAGTCAAATGGCAGTTCATGATTCGGATGATGATTCGGATGAAGATATGGATGAAGAGGAGATAAATCATATGAGGATCTATTTGGGATGTCTCCTCCTTTATGTAGCCATCATTCTCAGTGGTTCATCTATCTTAGACCGGGATTAGAAGAATCACCGGAAATTAACTTGGTTCTTTTTGGTTCAATCCCTTAGTTATCTCTTTTTGGTACCAAAACACTCCTCTCTTATAACTCTAGTCTTGGAAACTTGAGTTTCTTTGGTTTTCGAAGTCAGACTTGGTCTTTTTGTATATTGCAATCTGTCCCGGTTACTTAAAAAGTTTCATTGATGGTTTTGAACTTACCAAGCCATTCTTGTTAATGAATGATCAGAATTGGTAACATTTGGTTGTTTATAGGATTTGGTTTTAGTTGGAAATAGGATAAAGGACAGAAAATTTTATGTTTTTAAGTGAAAATTTCTGAAACCTGTTGAAACAAACTAAGATTGAGAACAAGTGACTAGATTGCTATGTCAAAGGTCGTTGCAACACATTCTTTCTTAAGTTACAAACCAAGTTCTACTGTAAAAACGATGCAGACATGTATGGTCCGTTCGATATACACCTCCATCCTCCTTTGTTAGGCCACTTATAAACGAAACCTTAACTCCGTTACTCACCAAGTTGATGAATTTTCACAGGATATTGCTTAGAATTTGAAATTTGGGTATGAAGATTAGCATAATCTTGTTTGAATTTCGTTTAAGTTTGGATAGAAATCGGCACTTTTGAACTTGTATGGGTATAAAATGCCCTTTTACCCTTTGTGGCTGAGAGCTAAAGCCTCGAACTTTAACATTGGACGTCATAGATACATGTACCAAAACGTTCATTAATAGAAGTGTGACATGTAATTTCAATCTTAGATGTTTCGATACACATGTTCTGAATCATTATTTCATTTTGGAGATTGCTGACTCCAAAATATGTTCTAAGATGCGAGTGAATGTTTCCTTTTTAAAGAACGAAGAGGCTAATCTTGATTCTCTCGATCTTGTATATATTTTCCATATAGAATTAGGCAAAGGAGCCTAGACACAATACAACATCTTTAAAGAACTAAGACCAGCCTCAATGGAGGGGATTTTAAGCAAATCTTAACTTCAGATTTGTGAAGAAAATTTCTAATATAAGGATTTTTTTTCACAAATCTTAACTTAAGATTTGCTTAAAATTCCCTACATTGAGGATGCTCTAAGGCCAATCATTATTAATGGGTCTCTAAGATTTGTTAAGAAATGGTTCTTATCTCAGTAATGATGGTCTTAGGCTAAGCATGCATTAAAATTACAATGTTTCTTCACCTGCTATTTTGTTTTGAGTTGAAAAAAGTTGCTTTTGTTAGAATATAAAATGAAAAGCTTAGCAAAAGTTGTCGTGTGTGTAGATTTGATCCAATCAGTAAAAAGGACAATGAACTTTTTAGAAATTGTTAACCATCGGAAAATTGGATGTTTACATTCAAATCTTTTCAAATTAATATTTGATTATTAATCAATTTTTTTTTGTATCCAATTAGGTTAGTGCGTAATAATACAATATTTTCATATTATTGGTGAACAATAACTTTTTTTTCAAACTATGTATAAACACATGCAAATTTAGTATTTTACGTTGAACTACCACACTGCCTTATTAGAATGCGATGAGAGTTTGTGATATGAAGAATTAGTATTTAATATTGATTACAATTGTTTATATAAAGAATAGAATGGTATTCTTGTTAACCTAGTTTCCATAAGTATAAACCATAGTAATTATTAACAAATATACTAAAGAATTCTACAGCTCAAAATCTACAGCCAAAACCCAAAGCTAACCAATCAAGGGCCATATTCTGGATCATTCTATATATATGTCTAACCTCAAGTTTGGAAACGTTTATAATGTATGCACATAAAATACCAATTTTGCGTAAGTTGGTGCATGTTTATCTACCATATACAGTAAAACCTCTATAAATTAATACTCTATAAATTAATAAATTTTGCTGGTCCCAAATCGGGTCAGTGTAAAAATTAACCAAATTCGGTAAGATAATAAGATAATAAGTTTTTTTGAAATCTTTATGTAAATATAGTCCCAAAAATAAAATAAATTAATAATCACATATATATAAGTAGTTATGTTGAAATATGCTTTTAGATATTTCTAACAATGAATTTCTCCTAGCCCTCATCTTTATAAAAAAAAAAGATTTATGTTATATATTTAAACTATAATCTTATAATATATTCCATAACATCATAAAGTAAGCAAATTTGTTTTCATGTTTTCTATTTATAAATATGCATCATATTCATTTTTGTTTTGTTTTATAGGATGTTAAAAGATAACAATTGAGGTATTAATCATAAATTTTTGAATTTATGTGTGTACTTTGTATAGAAGTGAATTTATTTATAAATTTTTAATTCATTGTTATTTTTTTAATATAAATATAGAATTTAATTCTAAACTATAAAAATTTATATAATCTTAAAGACTATTCTTGTTTTGTAAAATTGTCCCAATCCATAATTTCAAAAAATTTAAGAGTGAAAATACCACTATAAATTAATAATTATTAATTTACACTATAAAATAATAAATATTAGTTTATAGATAAATTAATATCACTATAAATTAATAAATTTTTGTAGTCCCAACATTATTAATTTATAGAGGTTTTACTGTATATGTAATATACTAATATCTAATTAGATCTTGTACATGTAATATATAAAATTGGAAGAGGCATCGAATGATCTTTGCCTTTGGTTTCCCTCATTTATTATTTGAAATATTGATATTGCTCTTGGATATTGACTAAATATATGTATATAATATGTATTACTATTTAACGGGATCAAAGGTGACACATGTACTCAAGCAACCAGATAAGTTAATGGAAATAGGACATATCACAAAACTTGAGTGGTAGAATTGCTGGCTCTTAATTGCAAACAGTTTGATAGCAACCCTCCTTTCTAAAATCTTATATTTTAAACCAAAAGAAAAGAAGAAAACTAAGGCCATGAATGTTCCGTAATTTTTTTGTTTTTGATTTTTGGTTTTTGATTTTTGTAGTTTTTTTTCTGTATATATTTTAGTTTATACAAAATCTTGAATAGTAAGTTTTTTAGTTTTTAGATTTTAAATATAATTATTTATCAAAAAGGCTTTTAAGGTAATTAAAATTTTAATTTTAGTTTTTGTTTTAGGCTTAAATTTATTTTAACAAAAATCTCACGTAAAGTTTTATTGGAATCCACAAAATTTGGTTTTTGGTTTCTTAATATTTAGGAAATCTACTTTTATTAAAATCATGAATGGATAACTAACTATTTTCTGCAAAATCAAAAACCAAAAACTAGTTCAAAATCTGGACATATTGAGTTTCTAGTGTTTATGATATTCTCAATTTTATGCTACCTTATAACATATTGAGTTTCTAGTGTTTTAATCCATTCACTATACATTTTGTTTATACAAGTTGCATATATGATAATCTCCTATAGCATTAGTAAAAATGAATATGCACAAAAATATAAAGAGACGACATATATATAAATATAAATGTGATCTTATCTCATCATAGTGTATGGATTTGTAGACATACTGACTTTCTCCGGATCTTGAACACATACATATGCATTGTATGTTAAACAAACTAGACTTTCATATAAGCCAGTTAAAAATGCTCTTTCACGTATAATTTTTTGGGCGAGAGTAATACTAGAACGAGCAATTTGTTAGAATATTGTTGTATACCATTTGTTTTGGAGGCCTTAAATCCTTGTTTTAGCTGGCTCTACTCAAGACTGGTTTTGCGTAAGTGTGTACTCGATCGCATTTGTATTGGTAATGTATTATGTGGGAGATCACTTTGTAATAACGATGTAGCCTGAGTTTACTCTTAAAAACAAAAAAAAATCGTGATATTTATAGTCATGGGAAAATATTTTAGTGTTATTTAGTCTCTCAATGATTTACATAGTAACATGTGGTGCTTTGAATATATATAGTTTAAAACCAAAACTCACCCATCGTATCAACAGTTCAACTTCAACTTTGTGCCAGATGTCTCAGCAGCAAATCAGAATTTACATGATTGTATTTGTTTTGTTTGGCCATCTTTGTTTATTATCAATTCATTCATTTTTAAAAAATGCAACTGACCCCAATCACAAACTTCAATCAGTACATACTGTTGAAACATGATACAACTATACTATTCACTGCCATGTGTCCTCCAATTTTGTTATTAAATCCCTCACTCAATAATTTACATATTGCTTTAAAATTTTGTCAAATTTTTTTTGGATTGTTACCTTAACTACCTAACTAATCAGAGATGTTTTAGATTTTGATTGGTACCATTTGTATTGCTATGGTATGGAATATAATTAATGGTTTACATTACCAATTAAATATGTAATATGAAAGTAGTTAAAAGTAACGATTTTCACGATTTTGGTATCTTTCGTTTTCTCTATCCGCTAAAATATGGTAGATAGAAAAAATAATTACGAACACCAAACTGCAAAATTGGTTCAAATTTTCAAATATTTTTCTTTGATTTCAAAAATCAATCCATCATCTTTCATCTGATTTAAATTAGTACATATTTTTATTTTCTAGAGAAAAAAAAATTAAAACGAGAAAAACAATACCTACAATATCAACAAAAACAAACCACCACCACCAAAGCTTTGCATGGGTTATAATGCCAAATATTTCATTTCACATCAGTGGAAGTTTCTTGTACTCTCCACGAGAGCCTAAAAGCAATAAATGGTCTTTGTTTTTTCCCTTTTAAGAAGCAATACTCCTATTTTATTTTACTAAACAACATAACACAAATTTTATGCCATTGTCACACTCACACACATGAGTCACATACATTTTTATTATAAGTAAATAAGTTGAGTGCACTACTTTATATGGTACAAAGAAAGAGCCTTTCTTCCTCACTTCACCATTCTCTCTAGCCTCCCTCGTGATTAGTTCTTCAATCAAAACTAAGTATTGGTGTGAGTAAAGATGGGTGTTGAAGGAACAATGGAGTATATATCTGACTTTTTAAAGAAGAGGAAGAGGAAAAAGAAGAAACAAATGCAAACGGTAGCTCTCCGAGTGGCTCGTATCGATTGTGAAGGTTGTGAACGTAAGATCAAACATATCCTCTCCGGCGTCAAAGGTATGTAGTTCAACGTGTGTTAACTAGTCATTGATCCATTAATAGTTAGGTAACTACTACTAACTACAATGTTGGTAGAAGCCTTGGATCAAGTTCTACATATATACAGTAATATCCACTACTCTCAATCTTTAAAGACAGGAAAATTTTGTGTGCATTAGCAAAAACATATGAAAGAGTTACAAAGTTGGTCCGATTCAAAGATTCATATAATATAACAAGTACTTTTTTTTTATTTTTTTTCTCTCAAATTTCCTTAGAAATAAGGATGCATATAATATAACAAGTATTTTTTTAGTTGAATATAATTTTACATTCATTCAGAAAAAAAAACATATAAAAAGCTAGGGTATTTGAAAATATATATAAGAACTTCTAGAAACATTAGACCGGCTTGATTTGTCTTCATATTATAATATATAAAAAGATCATATGATCCTACTAAATTGTTCTTCCTACACAATTTATGGAATTTGAGTTTGGATATTTACTATTTTGATCTTCCCACACACAATTTATGGACTCATTACACACAAAAAAAAAAATATTATGGACTTTTTTAATACTCAATTTATGGACTCGTTTAGATAAAGAAAACAAAGAAATAGACTCGTTGGATGTTAGAAAATGTGATTTCTATGAAAAAAAAAATATGAATAATGGATTTTATTGTCATTGGACTCGTTTTGAGCAGGGGTGAAGTCAGTGGACGTGGACGTGAAGCTACAAAAGGTAACAGTAATGGGATATGTAGACCCAAAGAAGGTTTTAGAGGCAGCCAAGTCAACAAAGAAGAAAGTGGAGCTATGGCCTTATGTTCCCTACACAATGGTGGCGAATCCTTACATATCTCAGGCTTATGACAAGAAGGCACCACCAAACATGGTTAGGAAAGTCCCCGACACGGCCACGGTCAATGAGACCACCGTCGATGATTCTTACACCATTATGTTTAGTGACGAGAACCCTAATTCTTGCTTTATCATGTAAATCAAAGAGTATGTGTGCTTTTTTCGTATAAGTTAAGTATATAGTTATAGTTTTATACTATTAATGATTTTGGTAATAGTAGTAAGAATCGTTGTGTGGGTTTGGTTTACATGTTGTAACGTGACAAAATCGAAATTTGAATAAGATGTTTTGTTGATGATGATGAATATGTTATGTTATGAATATTTTTGCCGATGATGATGAATCATTCAGTCATAACATCGCACCCAAATCGGATTAATACATTCGATATATGATATTTGATGTTTCTGTGAATCGCTCCATCGAGTTTGCAAAAGGTGAAAACAAAAGCCACAAAGAGGAATGAGACAAAAGACTCAAAACCATAGAAAAAAGCTTTTGGAGAGTTTGATAAATTAAAAACTGCCTTAACGACTGTGAAAGCATTTGGAGAGTTTTGGGCGTATAGTTATTGGGCCTATATTTGGGCCTGGATATGGATTGTGCTGCAAATGAAACTCTTTCTTCATTTTTTCTAACTTAAAAGTGGTTATTGGGAGATGGATTTGCTAGAGTTGATTGATTTTTAAAACTTTTATGGATTTACCAAATTTTTGAGTAATTCTTTTCATATATTTTTGTAGATTCCCATTGACGGTCATGGATTTTCATTTACCTATTTTTCTCTAAAGTTTTCTCTTCATGTTAATACTCCATTCGTTTCATAAAAAATTGTTATTTTGACACATTTCACATAAATTAAAAAAAATATTAAATTATACATATATATTCTTATTTAATAACTTGTTAATGGTTTAATTAGCTTTAGGTTGAGGCTAAAATTAGGAAATTTAGTGTAAAAATTACATTGATAATGTAGAATGACACTCTTTGTCAAACAAGAATAAAACTCTAAATGACACTCTTTGTGAAACGAAGGGAGTATATAACTTTTTAGAAAATTTTCAAATACTAGGGGTCTAAATGGTAACATAAGTTTGAGGAATTTATGAGGAAATGTTGTGGAATTTGTTTTGGTTGTACATTTAGGTTTGTGGAATTTGTGTAGAATTGTTTTGGAATAATTTTGTTTTTTTTTGTTTTAGCATAGTAATCTTTTTGATTTATTAAATTTTATCTATTTTTTTTTGCTTACAAAATTTATTTACCATATTTTGTTTGCTTATAAAATTGGTTATGACATGATTTGTATTCTGAAAAATGTTTTGTCTAAAAAATATGAACTCAAAATTTAGGGAAAAAACAGAACAAGTTTTTCTTGCCAAAAACTTTGAAACCTTGTATTTTCAAAAAAAAAAACATTATGGTTGCAGTTTTGGTATCGTTCTAGCAAACCCATGTTTTTTTTTTCTAATATAAAAATCCGGATATGTGCTGTAGAATTTTGTTTTGGTGAATATAATTGTGAAAACTGGAATTATACCATTTTGAACATAGAGACATTGGGATAAATGATTTGATCAAAATTTGCAAAGTAGTGATTAACACAAAATGTTGTTTGGTCAAGATTCTACTAGAATAGTAGGAACACTATGAATTCTTGTTTTGGCCAGACAATTACATAAAAAAAATTTTGGAAGAAAATTATAAAATTAATTTTTGATCATTCTCAGTTCAAAATAATCATTCCAAGTTCTATCTTCTCGGCGATATCCTCTTAGAATTAGAACTTTTATGTTTGGATATCTTAACTAGTGCACTTTAGCTGTGATTGCAATCGCCATCAGACCTAGGTCTAGAGATAGGGGATTGGTTCCCCCCCCCCCCCAAATTTCAAATTTCTTTTATAGTCTTTATATTTTGTAATAGTTTTTATATTTTCTTTTGTTTTGAACCCCATCAAATTTTGAATTTTTGTTTTAAAAATTTTAAAATTCTAAATCTGTATTATAAACCCCTTAAAATTTAAATTTTTTTGTTATTTCTTCAGGAAAAAGCCTGAAAATTCATCATCTATTATTTTTTTTGGACGTTTAATACATGTACTTTTTTTAATTGGACTTAAAAAAATATTTATTTAATTTTGTTATAAAAAGTCTTTAATATTTAAATTTTGGTAAATTACTACCTACGATCTCAATTCTCAAACCAAAAATAAAAATTCAAATTTCACCTTACCACATGAATTAATTATTAATGTTTAAATAATATGGTAGTAATTTATAATTTTATTTGATAAAAATTAAAATTTAACTAAAATTATTTTTATTGATATTATGTTTGCTATTATTATTTTATTTATAAATAAAAATATAGGGGAATTGTCTTACATACTATGAAAATATGTATTTTTCCAAAAAACCATTACATGTTTTATTTTCCAAAGATACCACTAAAATACATTTTTCCAAAAATACCACAAAACTAAAGCTAATTTTTTAAACATTCAAAACTAATTTCTAAATCATAAATACTAAACCCTACCCCTAAAAATTATACCCTAAATAATTCTATATCAATATAAACAGCTGAAAATATGCCAAAGTGTCATCAATTAAATTGGTAAGTTTTTAATCGTTTGAGATATGAAGTTTTGGGTTTAATATATTTTCTAAATATATTTTTAATTTTCTTTTTCTTCTTAATAAATCAACAATTAAGTGTACTAAAATAAATTTGCTCGTGGTTTCCTAATCTCTAGCGTCAGCTTTGAAAGTAGTATCTACATATATTCACATGTCGTTTTTAGGTTGAACTGCAAATAACCATCATATATGCACATAATACCATATATTGTCGTTTTTAGGTTGAACTGTAAAACGAAACAAAGCATCAAATAACCAAACTAACCAAACTGCAAATACACAACAGAGCACCTCAATTTTCAGCTGTTTTGTTGAGTCCACCTTATTGTCTTTAACCTTCCCATGAGGCATGAGCCGTATCCTTGGTTTCATCTTTGTATCAGCCTTCAAACTAACATGAGCTTTTAAGACGTATCAAAAGAATTAGAAAAACTTCTAATCTCTGCAAATATTATAATTGATTACTCTTACTCATATGGTTTTGTTATGATGATGGAAATAAAAGAAAAATTTGTACCTTTATAGAATTTAATTTTCGCAAACCTAATCGAACAAATCAACAGCTGAACCCAAAAGGTACATGTCAATCTATCATCACTATGAAAAATAAAATAATACAATAAGTTAAATTTGATATAAAGAAAAGAAGCCATGGTTATATGTACCAAGGTTATATGTACCTAGAAGTATTCTCAAATAAACTTACTTTTTATATATCAATACAAAATACAAATTCTGCTTTCGTTTGTTGTTAGCTTCAAAAATATTAATATAGATTCTAACAATAAGATCTATTTTTGTTTTATTTTTTATGTCAGTCCAATTCCTATGGATTCGGTAAGCATATATAAAAAAAAAAATGTGTCATGCCAACACGTTGTTGCTATTAGGAAGAAGATACTATATATGCACATAATACCATTTACGACGATAAAATATAATTTGGTTCATTAATTAGAACAAAAATCATGGTTTATATTAAATATGCTAATTAAGTGTGTTTAGGAAGTCAGATTCGCTGGCACATATTAAACTTCATTCTTGGATAAGATCCCATTAAATCATTATTAACAAAGATGATGCCTTCATGAACATAATCAAGTTCTTTGCTAATTATTCTCGAAATAATTAATCACACTTGGCTGTAATCGTGATCGTGTAACATATGATATTATGGTGACAAGTATATATCACTTAAACCTTGGAAAAAAAAATTAGGAAAAGAAAAAAAAATGTTAAATAAATGATAGACAATTAATATTCCAAAATTTTACGTACCCAAAATAGTTATATTAGGTACACGATATGGTTATTGATAAACGATTCATTGATCATGTTTATAACTATTTCGAAGTTACAAGAATCTGAAATAAGTACCAATGAAAAACTATACAACTTACTTTTCTTGAAATCAAGTGAAAGAATGTTAGCTATATGTATATCAAAACCTATAAAATCAGGTTCTTGCAACTCACAAAAACTTGTTCTTATTTTCGTATGTAAAGTACTATGAACCTTACAAAAGATTGTTTTTGTGTGGTTGTTAGTTATCTTTATTAAAAAAAATATTAAAATAATATAGAAATACGATATAGTATTCTTTATTACGCGTAACTGTATATCGCTGTTAAACTATCTACCTGTACTAGTTGATATATTAAAAAGTTAGATGAAAGTCTACTCGCAGAATCGTATGATATATATTATCTCGAAATTTGATTTCGTAAAACTTGGCCAAACCAAAAGGCTAAAGGTCATATTGAACATCAAAAATATGAGTATACTAATACTACCTTTGAAGAAACCATGAAGGAGACAAAGCCTTAAGAACTGAACTTGAACCTAGACATTATTATGGCTAGATACATTTTATCCTACGTGGCACTATCTTTTCAGATCCTAGGATCCACGTTTCACAACCTCATTGGTCAGGAATCTGTTGGTTGTATAAGCTAGGGAAGTACATATATTGTTAAGTCAACCTCTATTTTATTTTGCAAATGCACATAAGTTGTTTTCAAGTATAGTAATACTAAAAAATAAAATAAAAATATATAGTTGTAGATATTTTTTTATTATTTTAAAATTTTGTCCTTGAAATAGAAAATTTTCAGGGAAGAAATTAGAAATGTTCCAAAAAAGGGCAGAAATTAGAAAAGCAAAAAATGCATGAAAGTATCGGTAAATATATATTCTAATATATAGTCTATAATAACATATGTACCATAATAATTCTTAAGTGAAACTCAATTCTCCCTTTTTATGTTGCCAAAGTACATAAGTTGATGTACACTTTGCTAAATATTTATATTATTTTAATTTTAATTTTAAATAGTTCTTCCACAAATAAAAATATATAAATCAGTAACTTGAAAAATAAAATCAAAATTGTGATGTGAAACTAGCATACAATTTCTTGTATAACATAAGAAAAAATAAAATAAATTAAATGATTTAGCGAAAGTCATATAATCGAGACGAGTCAGTAAATAAAAACTTAACTTAGACAATATGATCAAGAAGTGTTAAACAACGTAATTAGATTACGTTCAGACAGAGAAATATATAATAATTTAGTTTTAGTTTATAAGTATAACACATT